TTTAGAAACTATCATCACAGACATTTATAAAAAATCACTATATCTTTTCCCTAGTCTCCAAGCTATGCTTCCTCAGCTTGGAATACAGATTTAGTGTTAATCTAAGTATCAGCCTAGTGATTCTAATGACTCTTGTTGTGTAAGTACCTTCGTCTATTTTCTGTTGCTATACCCGAGACTGCATAATTTATAAGAAAAATTAGTTTATTTGGCATGGTTCCAAAGGCTGGAAGTTCAAGATCAGGACCTGTTCTGGTAGGGAACTCTACAGAATCCCAAGGAAGTGCCAGGAATCACTGCATGTGAAAAAGACACATGCAGAAGAGAGGGGGGGAACAGAGGGATGACAACCTGCTCTCAGAAGAATTGCACTAATCCCTTCATAAGGGTGGAGACCCCCAAACCTAATTCCTTCTTAAAGGCCCCACAACCTCTCAACACTGTTTCATTGAGGATTAACCCTCCGTGTTGGTGGGGACAATCCATAATCAAACCATAGCAGGAAGGATGCATTAATCATATTAGTCATTTAATTGGCATTAGCAGGTAAGCTAGAAGTACCCAGTAACACTTAGCTAGAAGGTTTTTCAATCTCAACACTTTTGATTTTGGGGAGCAAACAATTCTTTATTGAAGGGGGCTGTTCTGTACACTGTGGCTTGTTTACCAGCATCCTTGACCTCTACCCACTAGAAGCCAATAGAACTATCACCAGTTCTGAAAAACAAAACTATCCATAGATATTGTCATCTGAGGGCAAAATCACCCCAAGAACCACTATACTTCATCATTTTACAGGAGCCCTGAAAATTTGTGGCAATAAATAAGGTTGAGTAGGAATCAAGAATGTGTACTTGGAGTATTGCACTCTGGATATGATAGTCCATGCCCCTGTTTTCCTATGTGTACATAAACCACTTTATTTCCATATAATCAGTCCACATTTTGTATATCACCCCCTTCTCCACAGACCCCACCCCAGCACATAAAGCAAAGAATGAGGAGAAAGGTGAAGGAAACTGGTGATCAAATGTCTTAAACCTCACTCATGTTAACCCCTTGTAAAATTAATGCTTACTCTAACCTGCCCTCAGACATTCCAGATGGCATAATTAATAGATTTAAGTAAGGAAGATGTGCTATAAACATGTTTTGAGCTAAAATAAAAAGAACACAGATAACAAAGAGGTGGTAATTTTTATTTTTATTGATACATCATGATTTCCTATTAAGTATACATAAAAGGGTGCAAGTAACAATAACACAGCATTCCAACATTTAAAATAAAAACTTTTTTAATCACCTTGATCTATATATAAAGCTTTACTTCCTGGAAAAATAATGTTTTATTGCAACAGTACTCTTCTCATATGTAAAACAGCTTCTCAAAGTGAGGGATTTACAAATGAAACTTTATACAGTTTCCTTTGTACAAAAAGGATCTACTTTACCATATCAACTGCACCCTACCAAAAGTCCAAAATCCAAAGGCTTGAAGGACCAAAATCAAGCCACGTCCTACTGACATTATCAAAGATAAATCCTAAAAACCTCCCAATGGAGCATGGAACTACCCTCTACCACCAATTCAATACCCTGGGCAGAAGATGGTAAGTGTTGACCTCATAACAATATGACATAGAAAGATTCTTAAACATAGCAACACATGTGCCAATATAATTCCCATAATAGAGACACACACATACCAATATAAGTGTCCTCTGACATGAGAAACTTGGAAATCATCTAAGAAATGTGTATTTTCCTGTGTTATAATTGGAATGAAAATGACAATATATTTAAGGAATGATGCAACATGACACTGGGTTTTGATGAGGCACATATAAACAGACCTCACTGCCTAGAAACAGTTTTAATGAAAGCCAATTCTTACTGGTATGTACTTAATTTAAAAATTACCTTTGCTGTTTAGTTTCTTGAAGAAAGTAGAATAATAGTCCTTGACTCAAAGTAATGATAAAAAAAATATAACTGAACTTCAAATTCCTCCCAATGTGATTTAAGATGCTTAATATTAACATAAATATCTGAATAGGCAACAAGAAAATGTTAAGTTCGTAAAACTGCTAAGCCTTACTAAAGAGTGAGAATATGGGGAAATGTTAAATATACTCTTCTGCTGAACAGAGCTGTCTTCTGAAAATGTAAAAGGTTCTGGTGGTTTACCCAAGAGTGAGTCCACTTGTCTTAAATTTACAATGTGAAAGAAATTATGCACCCAACAACAGTAACTTGACCCATGGTAGTCACTTGGCAGACTCAAAACAATTGCTAACCTGGTGCTGAGAAATCTTGCCAAAGAGGTATTTACAACATATTTTTATAGAAATGAGTATTCAACAGTTCAATAAAGCAAATTACAAAAAGTTAGGTTGTTACAAGAGAACTCCAGATTATGCGAGCAGTCTAATAAGATCTCTTTAAAAAAAAAAAAAAAAAGAAAGAAAAATCATAGTTCCAATTTTTTAATGTCATGGGACACCCAAAAATGTCAAATTAAATAGCTAAATTAAGTCAAAACAAAGTTAATTGACATTATATTGCCAATCTATTTATAATCATATTTAGCAAAAGCAGAAATAAAGACTAAATTCGTTTTTTATTTTCATATAATCAGTCCACAAAAAAAAAAAAACTATACCCAGATTCAACAGAATTGACACAGGGAAAGTTGTGCCTTCAATTCTGAAAAATCCTATGTTTAGGACATGACGTTGCATAGATAAGAACAAACTATATACCTGCTTTATACCTGCTATATACCTGCTTTCTATATAAGCACATTGCTCCCCATATATTATAACATAACTGAAATACTAAGCCCAAGATATTTCTTTTATAATATTTTGAAAAGCATGGTGCAGCAGAGAATATAAAAAGAGGAAGCCTTTTAATGATTGAGCACACTCTAATGGGCTTTCATTTCTTTTTTGGAACAGTAACTAAAGGCATTAAGATGGTGGGTCTGGATTAAGTGTTCTATTCTAGAACTTTTTGGCTATTAGTTATTCCCAACATTCAGTCTGTGCAACCACTGGCCAGACAAAAATGCAAGTGAGATATGCTGGTATCTTAATAAGATTCCCAGGCAGTGGAAAAGATGAGATTAGTTCATATGAGTAAGCAAAACTGACAGTATTCTCAATTGACGAGCTTCAGCACAAGCAAACTTAAAGGTAAAATGAGTATTTTTAATATTACTACTCACAACATGTGAAGAAAATAGTCTGAGCTATTGGTTAATTATCATGACTATGTTCACACCCTTTCTCCTTATGTCTGCAGCCTTGAAACACTGAAGATCCAGCTCCATTGCCTGTAGTAGAAGAGGCCAGGACACCTCCACAGCCCACACGCTTTGAGGCTGTTCTAACTCATCCTTTCTCCTCCTCTTTCTCCTCCTCACTTTTAATATATTTATATAAAATGAGATGAGTTACAAGGTAACTTTTAACCTGAAAATCTGAAGTACTTCATATAAAAAGTATCTGAGTTCTAGTTTTTAAATGAACCTGTCTTCCAGTGGCCTTTCCATTCCTACTATATGACACTAGAAGTTCAATGTAAATTATTTACTGCAAAATGTAACCTTGGATAGTCCAAGGTTCCTGGGAAGAGCAGGAGAGGTGGACTTCCTTTGCCAGCACCCTTCCCTAACTTCATCCTAAGAAGAAGTCCCAGAGTATAAAGGCCAGATATCATCACATGGAGGCTCAAATATTAAAAGTACCACTTTTAGAACAGACTGTAGAACAGATTAAAAAAAAATTTCCACTTGAAAAGAAAGTCAAGAAAATTAGATATTTAATATTTAACTACCACTCTCTGAAGGTCTACTTTCTACAAATAGGATGCAAGCACTAAAATAATGATATCCAAAATATCCATGAGTAATATACACACATCCACTCCAATATAATTTCTTTAAATATAAGCATTCTTTTTAAAAATTAACTTTAAAACATATCTTTGCATACTTTGATTTTGATAAATTTATTTTTAAATAGCTGAAAATATTATAAAGCACCCTCTGGAGCCCATGGCAAGAATTTCACAGCACTTAAGAAAAAAGCCATGGAGTCAGGAGCAAAATTAAACCACTTCTCAGATTTACTTTTAAAAAATGCCTAATTTTTTTATATGTCTAAAATATTTCAATATATTTGAAAGGAAGAAAAGAAAGAAGAGAGAAGGGGAAATGAGGGAAGAAACAGGAAAAGGATTTTCCTTTAAAATTCTCACCCAGAAAAAAGAAATACAACCCTCACAAAACAGGGTAACTAATGAACTAGGTGCTCAGAATTCAGGAATATTCTTAAAGATCCACAGCAAGCATCAAATGTCACTTGACAGCTGGCAGTCTGATGCTTAGACCTCTGAGCCTGGAAAAGTTTTTAAGGATCCCTGGCCAACATTATGGAACTTCAGATCAACAGTCATGTCAAGACTCTGTGGTCTCCACAAATCCTGACCCTTCCCCAGACCACAGGGAGGTCAGTCTGCTGTGGCTGATGTGCAGAGTAGCTCAGATCATCTCCTGTCCTAAGATACTCTGGTCTGAATCACCTAAGGCACATACTGCAGTAATGAACTCTGTCCTGTCACAGCCAAGGTGTGGGGCTGAGGCCTGAGGGCAGAGCTCAGCAGCAGCACCCTTAAGAACAGTTTTCAGTATGTTCCTCACCCCTGAGCTTAACCTTTCTCATTCTCGCTAGACAAAAAGGAGAGCACAGGTAAAAAGTTTTGGAGTGGGAAAAGACCATTTAACTCTTAAAAATTCACTACCTACATTCTAAAAAGAAAGTAGTGTCCACTTAAAAAAAAATGTACTGAGACCATGGGGCATGAGATGGGCAATAAGGTTAGGGTAGGAAGGACAGAGAATAAGCTCTTCCTACAGTTTCCCAGGGAAACCCATCTTGAATACTAAAGCAAACTGTTAATGTGATAATGCTGAAGAACCTAGGTAATAATGATAATCTAAAATAACACTTCTATTGTGGAGAAAACAAACACTTCTCAAAACAATCCTAAAAGATTTCAAGAGGGAGAAAAAAGATACACAACTGCAATCATTTTGATCTTCTCCACCAAGGTCAGGTGAAGAAATCTATGCAATTCTACATACTAAGACCTGATGACCATCTCCCAAGTCCCACAGAAGGTGGGAAAAAATGTTTTTCAAATATGTCAGAGGCAATATTGGATTATGAAAAAAATCATATATGACTTTTGGAAATGTTCATTTTACATGGAGTCCTTTAAAAATAAGTTACAACCAACATTGCAGAGAGAACAGAAGCATGACACAGGAAATAACAAGGATTGAAGAGTGATGAAGGGAGCCTAAAGCTCCATCCTCACAAGGATGGCAGCCCTGGACGTCTCCACAAAGGTCACAAGAGGACAGCTTCACTCTGGAGTTGTAACTTCTCACCGCCTGTCTCCCTGTTCAGAGAGGCAAACATCAGATTACACGTCTCCCTTGTTTAGAAACAGTGAATTTGCCAGAACATAAGAGCATTTCAATACACTTTTGTGAGTTTTCCATTCTTCACATCATTTTCTTTTTCTTTACAAGAAACAACTGAAATGCTCAAGAAAGGCCCAAACTGCAAACCAAATCCAAGAGAGAAACAAGGCATTCAGTCCAATCTATCTACCACCAGCAGTTGGCCAGTATTAAAAGAGAGCAAATGGACCACAGCTGCACACTACGGTCACAAGCAGGACTTTAATCTCTTTCTGGAACAGGAAATGTTTTAAATTGAGGATTGTTTAGCCTCCTCAACAGTTTATTTTAGGATGACATTTTCTATGCATTCAAATAAAATTCTAATCATTATAACAACTGAAAAAAATATTGGCCCTGGCTTTATTTTAAAATACATAAATAGAAAGGAAAGGGACTGAGGAACAAAATTGATCAAATTATATGGTTACCTTGTGTGCATGTACTAATATATAACAATAAATTCCACTATGATGTATACTTACAATTCACCAATAAAAGTGAACAAAAAAAAGTAATAATACTTAAGTATGTAGTGAAGTCTGTCTATGCAATGCCTTGTTTCAATGTTTTAAAACTTTGAGAACATAGGGTTAAAAACTATTCAATCTGAGTATAATTTATAGCACAAATATTTTATAAACTATATAAAGAGTCTATTAGTTCTATTTATAGTGCTATATAGAGCACTATAATGAGCTCACTGCAAAACAAAAAACTGAGTTTTATTTTATGATTTTTAATAACAAAAAACATTATTTTCTAGTTTCTGTGTAATTGTTTTGTAAATCACAAACCTGTTTTGGAATTTTTAAAAATGAATTGGTGGGTTTAATTATTCTTATCTTTCTCATAATCTCATTTTTCAATGGCATCCTCATAAATAGGTTGTTTTACACACACCAAAAAAATTTATATAGAAGGAATCTTTTTCATTTCTTAAATGCTTAAAATGTTTCCCATGCACCTAAGAAACATTAATTGGGGGATTTTGCAACCAGGTTAAATAACAAAGTTGGCTAGCAAGGTACAGTCATTGGGTCTCTGTGGTGGATCTCATCTCTCTACCAGGAAAAAAGAGTGCTACTCCTGTTTTTGCAAAATATCCCGCCAAGGGTTTTCTCGTCTTCAATCCCAACAGGAGGAATAAGGCAAGAGAAAAACTCAGAAAGAGAGTCTTGAATACTCTGTCAAGCACTATCAAAACTTAAGTATATAGTGATCAAGTTCATTTTTTTAACATGTAATTATCTGAAACTACCTACCATAAGAGAAGGTTTATCCTTCTCATGCATTCTGATGATTGAGTGCTTATTCAGGATAAGACTCATTAAAATTAGAAACATTAGCCCAGAGATCCCACACTCACAGAAAGTCACTCTGTGATGAAAGTAGATTATTCACAATTAACTTGGGCTATCTCTAGGCCAGCTATTTTCACATCCTAAATTCCTATCATTTTATAAAATAAAACATTAATAGTCAAATCAAAGAAGTTATCTTCCAGTCTGTATTTTTCTCGATACACTAAGAAAAATCCTTTTATAATGCATAAAAGTTTTAGCAAAACATCAGTCCTTCCCAATGAAGAAACAACTGCAAATGTTCTTTCCTTAAAAAGCTCCAACTTGACAGCAGGAGCCTGATGGAATAGAAGCTTGAAATAGAAGCAAAAGTAAATAAATAAAACCACAAGGTGATGATTCTTTCATCACCTTCTCCTCTGAAGTTTGTGATTATGAATTAAAAACCTAAAACATGCCGGGAACTGTGGTGCATGCCTATAATCCCAGTGGTTTGGGAGGTTGAGGCAGGAGCATCATGAGTTCAAAGCCAGCCTCAGCAAAAGGGAGATACTAAGCAACTTAGTAAATAAAATACAGAATAGGACTAGAGTGTGACTCATTGGTTGAGTGCCCCTGAGTTCAATCCCGGTATCAAAAAAACAAAAACAAAAAAAATTAGCGAAAATGTCACTCTATATAACATTTTTATGCTAAATGTTGTCATTAGCAATGATTGTAAATTATCAATCGTCTTCATTCAAATAGAAAGCTCACCTCCTAGAGGCCACCTCCTACACTTGCCCCCACTTCTTGTGAATAGAAGAATGATAACTGAATGCCTGGCTTCACTTGTAAAGTATTATGTGCCGCAGTCTGGCTGCAGCAAAATAACCAGGGGGTAAGGAACAACTTGTGTAGATTGATACAGCAGGAGTGGGAGCCGTTTATTACAGGACAGGAGCAGTATTTATACATTCCACACAGCTTATCTAATTAGCATAAACTAGATACATCAGTCAACCAATCAGGAATCTCCACACTTAATGGCTCACTTTTGTTACTTCTCAAGCCACTCCCTCTGGCATTTTGCCAGGCACCATCCAGACTTGTTTACGAACTCTAACATTCCCCTGGCAAAATGCCAGGTGTTATTTTGACTTGTTTACAGACTCTAACAATTATGAACTCCAGACCACAACTTACTTGGTTCATAGTAATCCACTATGGATACAGAAGCATCTTGGGTATTTGAAACCTTAAAGTTTCTCACAGCAGGAATATCAATACAAAATTGGGTTTCATTTACCTTGAAAAATACAAAAAAGACTTTTAAGGGGTTATGGGTTGGCACACCATGTGTTCATAAAAAAGTAAGAGAGATCTTTTTCTTACCCTTTTAGGAAACAGAAACTGATATTTAGGGAAGACTTGTACTTACCATGTACTGCAATAAATACTTTCTATTAATTATCTTTTCTACCTTGTAAAGCAACCCTTACAAGTCAGGTATTGTTCTTAGTTCTATTTTGCTGAAAGGGATATTGAGAATTAGAGTTGTTAAGCAAACATTCAGCCTAAGGGTGCATGCTTCTGGGGACATGGTTCCTTATCCAAATCCTCTCTTTCAGAGAGTGCACCTGTCCTTTAATGATTCACAGAAGCCCCCTCCTCCAGAGAATTACCCTCAGCTTATGTGGGCCACCTCATGCAGTAAGTGAAGCCCTGAGGTGGGGGTGCACCCCACAATTAGGTATACCCCTGATCAATGTGGAGTACCAAAGGCCCACCTCAACCGGGTGCAGTGGTGCATGTCTATAATCACAGATACTTAGGAGGCTGGTGCAGGAGGTCACAAGCTCGAGGCCAGCGTGGACAACTTAACAAGACCCTTTCTCAAAATAATGAAAAGAGCTGGAGATGTAGCTCAATGGTAGAGCACCCCTGAGTTCAATCCTCAGTACCACACACATACAAAAGGCCAGCCTCCCTCACTCCAGGAGGAGCAGTTTATGCCAATCTGACAAATAATGTCAGTTAAGAAATCAAAAATTAATAAATTCCTTCAAACATTCATTATATACCAATAGCAGTAAATGAAAAAAATTAAATCAATCAGAGATTATTGGGCACTCAAATTAAAACATTAACAAGCACATCAAAGACGCAAGACAAACTCCAGAAACAATTACTAAATAAAAACTTTAAACTTTTTTTTAAGTTCCAAATCAGGTCCATGGCTTTCAAGCATAATTTAATATAAGAAAATTCCTTAACAGCAAAGTAACTTAAAGACTAAATTAGCTTTAACAGGACTTTAATCAGAGTGATTTCTGAAGTGCTGAAACAAAGAAGAACATTCAGGATCTAGCTTTTTAAAGGTAAATATTTAGCAATATTTAGTATATTTCTGACTCATACTTAGCAAAACTGGAATAAGAAACATATGGGTTCCTCCCATGTAACATGCAATCCCAAGAATGCTTAGAAATCAGTTTCAGTTCAACCTCTGAGTTTCATATAGATGCTAGAAGAAGAGAAAAAATTCACATACCAGCAATTTTGAAACCTAACAAGTCAAGGCTGGAATTCCTCCCTAACCTCTTCCTGCCATGATTTTTACTCTTATCTTTGGATCAGTACCACTCAGACAGCAATGGAAACGGTTGCATATAATTCTTGGTGTAGACCAAACCTCTGACAATATTCTTCTATAATTTAAGCACCTTTTTGTTTCTTCTTGATGTTGGGTATAGAATGTAGGGCCTCTCACGTGCCAGACAAGCACTCTGGCCCTGGGCCACATCCCCAACCCTAAGCACATAACCTTTTAAGACAGGAATAATAATCACTTAGAGATTTGTTAAAAACTTCACAAGAGCATTTTAGAACATGTAATTAAAGCTTTCATCCTCAGCATCTGAGCAAGTATGTTTAGCAATTCCTGAAGATAGAGGGGTTCTCAAATTGAGATCTGGTCTGAATTTCTGAACTGATAAGATGGCAATCTCTACACATTTTGCATCTAACATGAAATAATGATTTCATTATCAAGATCTTCCTCAGGCTCATCATTAATAATAACTCTAAACTAATTTTACAGTGATGTCTTTTTAATGTCCTTTAACATGGTCGTCATGTTAAAATCATTCAGGGACACAAAAAGCCAAAAGAATAATGACTTAAAGAAAACATAAGTAAGAAAGACTCTGTGTGTGTGTGTATGTGTGTGTGTATTTCTGGGGATTAAACCTAAGGCTTCCCGCTTGCTAGGCAAGCATTCTACCTCTGAGTTACATCCCCATTCCCTAAGGTAGATTTCTGAGCACAAAAAAATGGTGACTTTATCAATAATTACCTTTTTGAAACTTAGGTTTTACTACTTACAGAATCTAAATAGAGGTTGAGCTTTCCATGATCATGTTCCACCTTCTTCACTGTCTCGCTTAGAGGAATTGCATCTGAAGGCACAGTAAAGCCACTAAGAAGGTTAACTTCCATAAGGGCCATGCCACTCCTATCCGGGCCCAAAAACCTACATCAAAAAAAAAAGAAAAAAGGAGAAAATCCTTCAGGAAAAGCTATAAATTGTTAGGAAATGATTTTCAGACAAAAATTAAAACTGCAAAATATTACTCTAATACCATTTAAGTTCAAAAAAATGATTGTAGAATATTTCTGAACAGGTTACCCTTTTCCTACATGTGTAATATTCTTTCAACCATAAGAGTAATGCTAATACAACAATGAGGTCACTGGACAGATAGGATGAAATGTCTATAATCCAACAGGCTTGTGCTTTGAGGTTGTCACAAGTACAACGCACATCCTTTCGACAAATTCTAGTGGTGCTTTCAGTGGTGATTCCAAACTGTATGTCATTTTCACTTTCTCAAAAGTTAACAGCATCAAACTTTCCAGCTGAAAGCCCAAGACCTTTAGAGGAGACACTGCTTGACCACTTAGTGGCAGATGCCAACCAAGCCTGCAGGTTTTCTTCATCTGGTTTTAGAAAAAGAAATCTAGCAGGGAGAGGCTTTCCCCTTTGTTTTCACACACACACTGAGCACAGTACATGTTTTCTTGAGCCACCCTGAGAGATCTGCAAGCCTTGGAAAGCTTTATTGCACTGCATTCTTTCACCCTGTCACACCTCCCACCTCACCCTTATAGTAACTCCCAGCTCAACACCACAGTGTGAGCATCAAAGAATCTGGGCACCAACAACATGTTGTCTCCTTCAAAATACATATTTTTTGAAAACAAATAGGTGGCAGAAGTTTTTCATCTGGAACAGGAGTTTCGTGTGGTTATAGAAAGAAGTTTGCCTCCAACACAAAAGGATCATAGTATTGTTAAGTTACTTCCTGTTGTCCCATTTGATGGCAAAAGCAAGAAGACTGATTAGAAAAGTTTGCTTTTTAGAGCAGCAAGCGGATGCCTGCCAAACATGACTGATTGAAAAGCCATTCAATGCAACTTCTAACCTCAGCTGGCTCAGCACTCTGAAGCAACTGAAACCATCTGCTGGGCAATGCACTTAGCCAAAGTAGGTGCTATTGAAAACTTAGTAAGTGGATTGAAACCAGAGGAGTTTGCATGTGAGCAAAAATTAAAGATGAGAAGAACAGTTAATCTTTTTAGATGCTTAAAAGTATAATTCAGATTATACTTTCACTACCTTGTCAAAGCACCTTGGTTGACCAAAGGCATTTGAAAGACTAGTTTACTAGCCAACGAAGAATTTGCTAAATTATCCTGCCCCACAGAAAACCTTGTCTGAGGTCACGTCTTAGACCCTGTTGATAGGAATAAAATGCCTGTATTATCAGGCAATATTTTTATAAAGTATCACTAAAAATAAAATTCAGTGCTTTTTATTACTGAAAATTATTATTAAATTCAATTATTTTTATGTTGTTTGTGTTTGATGTAATAGCTTTTCTCAGAAAACTAGCAGTTGCATTTAAAAGTCTTCATAGCCAGAACAATGGCATATGCCTGTGTAATCCTAGCTACTTGTGAGGCTGAGGCAGGAGTATCTCAAGTTCAAGGACAGCCTGGGCAACTTAGTGAGACCCTGTCTCAAAATAAAATAAAAGGACTGGAAATGTAGTTCAGAGGTAAAACATTTTCCTAGCATACATGATGCCCTGGGTTTGATCCACTGTTATGTAAGAAAGAAGAAAGAAAAGAAGGAAAGGAGAAAAGAAGGACAGATGGACCAGCTGGCCTTTTATAAAACCTCCACTTTCACATGAAGACATTTCCTTCTTCAGGATCTAACTACCAATCAATGTCTGTTGCCCATTTTATTCCTCATACTGTATTAAGATTTAAAATCCTGCTTCCTTACATAAACCCCCATACAAACGAGGAGATCTCTAGCCAGAGATGTAGTTCAGAGGATGTAGTTCAGCTTGCCTACAGTATGTTCAAAGCCCTAGGTTCAATCCCCAGCACCAAAAATATAGATAAATAAATAAATAGGTCTCTTCATGATCTGAATCATGGTTCTACTTCATTTCCTCATCTGTTTCTTCACTTGATGTCCCTGAGAGGTCAAATCCCCCTCTCACAGCTCCACAAAGCTCTTTTCTGACTTTTTCAAAACCACAATTTTAGACTTGCTTTGAGGATACTTTGTATTCATTTCTGCCTCCCCTTCCAAACAGTAAATTCCATGAAGGCAACCTGGTGTCTTTTTTTGGCTCAGCATTATATTCTCATGCCTGACTACTGACATACAGAAGAGACTTCACCAATATTTATAGAGTGAATGAATGAGTGAAAGAAAAAAACAGGGAAAATAATAGCATTTAGTGCATGGAGTAATTGAGAGGCCTAAATGAGATGCATGTAAAAGCGTTTTGTACAGTGCCTGGCATATAGATTTGTGATAAATGTAGGTTGATTGTTGACAATAACAACAATTTGATGTTGTCATTCTTGAACAGAGACCAACTGCAAACCTAGTAAATAACAATAATAATAATAGGAGCCCCACTTCCTTCTTAGCTGAAAAGGAAGCCATTGCAGAGATGCTGCTTTTCCTAGTACAGAATGTCCAAGAAGGTAATGCAAGGTGCAAATATGTGACACTGTGTCCCAAAGTCATGAATAAGAAGGCCCAAAGATAGTACAAATGGTAGTGATAATGCAGGTGATTCAGGCATCGGTTGAACATCAGGACGAACACTTAGAGATGGCCTTGAGGAACATCTGGAAGCTCTGAACCACACCAGTGACGTTCAGCCCAACAACAAGCTAAGTTCAATCATAATGGTATGGGATATTTGAAAAGTGCAGACAGCAATTCGTTGGTGTTAGTGCATCCTTTCATAGTAGCTCCCAGCTCACACCAAAAAATGCAGATGTAACAGGAAAGACTGAGAAGGAAGAACCTGCAAAGCCTCTTGATTCAAGAACTTTTCTCAGAGTTGTTCTCAAACTTGTGTGTGCATTAGTATGACCAAGAAGCTGAAGAGGCAGCTTCACAGCCTTACTGTGAAGTCAGCAGTTCTGAGGTAGAATCTCTTTTCTTATGACTTAAGACCCTCAGATGCTCTGGATACAAACCCATCTAAGAATTACCTCAATTAAGTACTTCCAGACAGGTTCTAATTATTCAAGATGCAAATCTAAACTGGAATATTTTCAGTGCATCTAAAAAAAACTTTTCTTCATTGAATGTGCATGCTCTTATAAAGTTCAGGGTCAAATGTATAAAAGTTAAATGGAGCAAAATATGTTATATGCATTTATGAAATGTCAGAATGACATTATATATATATATAT